TGTATATTTATATATACATAATAAATATACACAGTACACACACATATATTATATAAACAAAATATTTTATTTTGGATGTGATTAATCGTAGTATTTATTGCACTGCCTAATTCTATTAAAAAATATATATAAATAAAAATCTGAATTACAAAATATATGGATACCTTAAAGGGGGTAAAGGGCACTTAAAGGGACAGTTCACCCAAAAATGAAAAATCTGTCATAATTTACTCACCCTCTACTTGTTCCAAATCTGTTTTTTTCTTGTATGAGATCTTTTGAAGAATGCTGGTAACCAAACAAGTGACCGTAGTCATCGATTTCCATAGTATTTTTTCCCAAAACGTGGAAGTCAATGGCTACCGGCAACTGTTTGGTTACCAACATTCTTCAGAATATCTCCTTTGGTGCTCAACAGAGGAAAGAAATAGTCAGACTCCTAACTAAACTCCTAATTTGCTGCTTATTAATAGTTAGTAAGGCAATTGTTAGTTAAGGTATGGGGTGGATTAAGGGATCTAAAATATGCTCATGCAGAATAAGACATTAATATGTGCTTTATAAGTACTAATAAACAGCCAATATGCTAGTAATATGCATGCTAATAAGCAACTAGTTGATAGTAAGAATTGGTTCTTAAACTAAAGTGTTATCAAAGAAACTCATACAGTAAATATTACGGATGGTAAGATTCACCAATTCGCACTGTGTGACAATATTTTGTGGTCAAATGAAACCAAAATCCATCCATCAGTTCTCCAAACAGTTTATCCTGTCTCCTCTCCACCGTCTCATGCATCTCAACACAGTCACTCCCACTAGCAGGGGTGTGAAGTAACGAATTACAAATACTCACTGTAACGTGGGAGGTATGACAACGGAGTTGAGGATCCACATGCAGCTTTATTAAAAACAGTGGTCAAAGCAGGCAAGGTCAAACAGCAGCAAACAGGTATAATCCAGGTCAGACAAAAGAGTAATCCAAAAATCAGGCAAAGGTCAGGGCAGGCAGCAAACGATCAAAGACAAGGTAAACAGTCCAAGGTCAAAAAACAAGCAAGGCAAGGCAAGGAACACGAAGACAATACAGATGATACAATAATCAGCAATGTAAGTGTGGATGAGTGCAACCTTTATAGTGTCACTGATGGGAAACAGGTGTGAGTGTGATAATGAGTTCCTGGGTGAGGGATCATGGGAAATGGAGTCCAGAGAAAACAAAGACAAGACGCATATTCGTGACACTCACATTACTGTAATAAATTGGAGGACCAGATTCAGTATGCACCTTATTGATGACCCGTGGCATTAATATACTGCATCTCTGTCAGCGCGTGATGTAATAAAACTGCAGCTCATTAATAAATAAAGTTTTTTGTTTGATCTATTTTACACAAACCGCCTTCATTTAGCAAGTGCACTCACGCAAAAAAATTTTCCAAGGTCAACACTTTTTGTTCCATTCAGTTGTGGATGCTGCTGATAGAGCAGTAAGTGTGTGTGTGTGTGTGCGTGCGTGTGTGTGTGTGTGTGCGTGCGTGTGTGTGTGTGTGTGCGTGCGTGTGTGTGTGTGTGTGCGTGCGTGTGTGTGTGTGTGTGCGTGCGTGTGTGTGTGTGTGTGCGTGCGTGTGTGTGTGTGTGTGCGTGCGTGTGTGTGTGTGTGTGCGTGCGTGTGTGTGTGTGTGTGCGTGCGTGTGTGTGTGTGTGTGCGTGCGTGTGTGTGTGTGTGTGCGTGCGTGTGTTTCTGTGTGTGTGTGTGTGTCTGGGCGTGTGTGTGTTTCTGTGTATTTCTGTATTTCTGTGTGTGTGTGTGTGTGTGTGTGTGTGTGTTTGAAAAAGTTTCCCCGGAAATAGGCCTACTTCCCTATTTAATGCAATCGTTTTCCTTACAAATTGTATTATCAGCATAACAATTTGAGTAAATGTAGCTGTGTAAAGGTAGGGAATGATGCGCATTTATGTTTAAATTGTAACATAAATGATCATGTTTACACAATTCTCATTTCTTTATCACAAAATGATAAACCTGGCACCGTTTTGGAGAGAAATTGGCTCTTTTTAATCTCTCTCTTTAACCCATCTCATGGTATGTGATGAACTCTCGTATGAGTTTCTAATGGTTGGTTTGTATTCTTTGCACTGTTCTAAACATTAATATTTTATGTGCAGCAGTAGCATTCTCTGGCTCAGCGGCCTTACACCTGATTTTAAATCTATTTTTAAACATTATGATTTAAATGGTGATAAGTGGGTAACACTTTATTTTAGGGTCTCTTAACTAGTTGCTTATTAGCATGCATATTACTAGAATATTAGCCATTTATTAGTACTAATTAAGCACATATTAATGCCTTATTCTACATGACCTTATTCTACATCCCCAATCCTACCCAATACCCAAACTTAACAACTACCTTACTACCTATTAATATAAGCAGCAAATTAGGACTTTATTGAGGGAAAAGTCGTAGTTAATAGTGAATAAGTGTTCCCTGTTCTAAAGTGTTACCGATAAGTGTACTGAGAATAACTCTTTCATCTTTTCATCACTTTAATAGTTTTTCCGTGTTGTTTTGATGTATTTTAAAGAGTTGGTAGTCAAAATTAAAACTGCTGGATGATAGATATTCTTCATTCTTTTTGACAAACAACAACAGATAATGTAAATTACAGTATGTACAATGTTTTCTACATTTTTAAATTGCAGTGTACAGCGTTTATTATGAGGGGGTTGAATCCGCAGCTCAGTACTCACTACTCACTACTCATGAGTACTTTTAAATAAACTACTCTTTTACGCTTACTCAAGTAGTTTTTTGGACAAGTACTTTTTACTCCACTCACATTACAGTTTTTGGAATGTAATGGTACTTTTACTTGAGTATACTTTTTCAGTACTCTTTCCACCACTGCCCACACTCATGGTTTCTGCGGGTCCTTAAAAAAAGTAAGGCCATGAAAGTCTTAAATGCCTTAAATGGCTCTTGTCTTTCCGTTAAATTTGGGGACGGAATCGCGATATGACTCAATGTGACGATTAAACTTCAAAAGGCTCTGATTTCATTGAATAAATGTGAGCGCTGCAGGTTTCAGAGTCAGATGCTGCTTTGTGTTCTGCTGTTACCGGAGAAATCGCTATATTTCTGCCATTCTGAAAGCGCCACCTGCTGGCAGATAATGAATTTGTATTTTCAATAAGCCCTTCTGCCGTTTTTATTCAGACCAATGCAAAAACCGACCCATAACGTTAATGCACTAGCCGATAAAAATCTATCATCATCATATCATCATATTTTTTTCCATTGCATCGTATTGCATTGTGTTGAATTGTGTTGAATCAAAATCAGATCGCACTGCATCGTAATAGAATCGTATCGCATCGGTAGCTGCTTCATATGCATCTATATTGTATCGTATTGTTGGCTATGCATCGAGATGTGCATCGCATCGGTCTCAGTTATGGAGATGCACATCCCTAGTAAATAGTGATATAATTTTCATTTTTGGGGGGTGAACTATCCTTTTAATTGCCACAATCCAAACTACTAGCTAAATTATTAAACTATAAAAAAAATTCTAATTTTCTTTATCAGCTAAATAAAAATCTAAACAATAAAGACAGTAAGATATATATGTTATTAAATTAATATAATAAGTGATACTTTTGACTCATCCCTTTTCTTATAAAATGGTTTAAAGGCTAAAATGTGAAATCTATTTTATTTTATAAAACTTGTTTGTGTTTGTGAAAACCATGTCATTTTACCATTTAATACCATTTCACATACGGTATTCATTTTATTTGTGCAGGTCCTAAAAAAGGTCTTAAAAAGCTTTAATTTAAATTTTAGTTTGCGATGCTGTTTGCGAATGTTCGTTGCAACTATGGTTTCAGGAAACACAGAACCATAGAACTATGTTGGTTGTGATATAATTTGCAGCCATAGTTTTCATCATTAACCACTGCAGTAAAATAATCGGCAGTAGACAGCTGTTGCAGCATTCAGATATAACACCAGCATTACAACTTAAAAAGACTTAAGCCGTATTACTTTTAATGAGATGTAGGCAGGCTCCATTCCGATGGCCAGCTTGAGACTGCAGCCTTCTTTATATTTAAAGAGAAGTGCTCTCACGCTACTTTCTATCTCACGTGGAGTGCGTTTTCCCTGAAGCTCTTCTGCTTGTGAACATCAGGTTTGTGGCGAACGTTGAACTCTCTTCTCCTGATGCCTGCGTGTCCAAAACGAGAGAATACCATTTATCCTGCAGTTTTCTCATCTGAAAGCCATTGCACTTTTTTAGCACGCATGTGTAGACGTATTCTGAGGTCGAATAATGTTGCATTATGCCATTAGCATGGTTCTAAGAGGCCCCAGATGCACTCAAGGTGAATCAATCTTTTGTCACCAGTGTGCTTGTACAGGAATTATAGCTTGACGAAGTGGGCTCACACCTTACGCTTTCTCAGCACCACGCTGTAATTTGGTCTCTCTTTGACAGGGGCCGCTGAGCAGGCATTGTCAACGGACAAATAAAGCCTGTCAATCAAAGTGCAGTTTAAAATCGATGTGACACGGGTCACGGTGGCATCTTAAGCACGTTTTCCTTGTCATCAGTAATTTATTAGATGTGTTCTTCTGCAGGATCTTAGCGATGCCCTCAAATACGACTCTCAAATGGTCATTAGAGAATGAAAAATGCATGCCACAGTTGTATTTTGTCAAGCATAAAGTGAAAATGACTATGTATGTAAGAAACAAAAGCTATTTAATCCTTAACCTTTTTTTGCCTCAAATACAGGGTTATTATCATAAACTAAAACTAAAACCAAAAACATGTCCATTACTTGAAATAAAATAAATATTAACTAAAATAAAATATAAAAAACTTAAAACAATATTTTCAGTATTTTTAGTATTAAAACTAAATCAAATAAAGCTATAAACTAAAACTACAGTATGTGCATGATTAGGCAAGTCTGATGATATTCTGATAATATTATTTTCCAAGCATATTTTATCAATTCCAAATTACATGAATTTTAATGACTACTATTAATTTTGTATAAAATCATTTATAAGTGATATAGAATTGTTAACGAGGGCAGGAAGTACACAACTCTTTCAGATGTGTGTATTTATTACAGTAAGCAGGTTTTCTTTTACAGGTATATAAATAGGCCAAAATGAATATTTTATTCAGCAAGGATGTGTTAAATTGATAAAAAGTGATTGTTAGGAAATATTTCTATGTTGAATAAATGCTGTTCTTTTGAACTTTTTATTCATCAAAGAATCCTGAAAAAAGTATCACAGGCTCCAAAAAAATATGAAGCAGCAAAACCGTTTCCAACATTGATAATAAATCGGCATATTAGAATGATTTCTGAAGATCATGTGATACTGAAGACTGGTGTAATGATGCTGATGAAAAATCAGCTTTGATCACAACAATAAATTATATTTTAAAATATATTAAAATAGAAAACAGCTATTTTAAATTGTAATAATATTTAACAATATTACTGTTGTTTTCTGTATTTTAGATCAAATAAATGCAGCCTTGATGAGCAGAAGAGACTTCTTTAAAAAACATTAAAAATCTTACTGATCCCAAACTTTTGAATGTGTGTGTATGTATATATATATGTTAGAGCTCTGTGAACCAGTCATTTTTCAAATATACATGGAAGGGCACATCAGCAGTTTGATTTGTATTATTTGTATTTGTTATTTATTTTAATTTTAGTTCAATTATGTCTGAATTTATTATGTCTGTATAGGTCTTTTATTAAGTTTTAGTTTTATTTAATTTGAGTTATTTTAATACTTCAACAAACTAAATGGAAATGAAATAATATATATTGAATTTATGAATGTGTGTGTATGTATATATATATATATATATGTATGTGTGTGTGGGATCCCAAACTTTTGAATGTGTGTGTATGTATATATATATGTTAGAGCTCTGTGAACCAGTCATTTTTCAAATATGCATGGAAGGGCACATCAGCACAGCAAGTATGTAAAATCAATGCTGCTTTGCTGAATGTTTTTTTCAAATGAGAGTGAAATGAGTGTTTGCTGATGTAGAGCTCCTGAGTGTGTCAGTCACTGATTGACCGATGGGTTACTGAGGGCACAAGCAGAACAAGCTCAGACCCGTCACTGGGAGATCTTTCTCTGAAAGAAAGAAGTAAACAAACAGGAAAAAAACTTCTGTGCTTTTCTATGACTGAGGTTCTGTACTTTTGCATGCTTTGGCTTTAGAGAACCCACAAAAAAAAGCTCAAAAAGCATGCACCGTTTTCTTTTACATTCTTGACATTTACATTGAAGCAGGAAATTTGGTAGAGACATATTGTACATTTTTAAAAGGAATAGTTGATTAAAAAATGAAAAACGTACTCCCCCTCAGGTTATCCAAGATGTAGATGAGTTTGTTTCTTCATCAGGTTTGGAGAAATGTAGCATTGCATCAGTGTCTCAGCAATGGATGCTCTGCAGTGAATGGGTGCCGTCAGAATGAGAGTCCAAACAGCTGATAAAAACATCACAATAATCCACAAGTAATCCACAGCACTCCAGTCCATCAGTTAACATCTGGAGAAGACAAAAGCTGAAACTAATCCAGCATTAAGATGTTTTTAACTTTAAACCGCTGCTTCCGTTAAAATACAAGTCCAAAATCCATAATATTCTCCGGTGAAAAAGTGGTCTGGTCTGAATCAGGAGAGAAATCTGCACAAATCAAGCACCGTTTAAACAGTCCAAAACAGCTCTAAACAAATACGTGGGTGATTTTGTTGTGAGAGACAACAGGATTTGGACTTTTCACTGGAGGAAGCGTTATTATGGATTATGGACTTGTATTTTAGCCAGAAGCTACAGTTTGAAGTAAAAAAAAAAGTCTTAATGATGGATTTGTTTCTTACAAACACACAGCTTTCAGCTTCACAGGACATTAACTGATGGACTGGAGTGCTGTGGATTACTTGTGGATTATTGTGATGTTTTTATCAGCTGTTTGGACGCTCATTCTGACGGCACCCATTCACTTCAGAGCATCCATTGCTGAGACACTGATGCAATGCTACATTTCTCCAAATCTGATGAAGAAACAAACTCATCTACATCTTGGACTGCCTGAGGGAGAGTAAATATCCAAATGATCATTTTTGGGTGTTACTCCTTTAAATAGCCAAAAGGCTTTATTTGCTATTATTATTTGCTTTATTTGGTGTTTTGTGTGTTGCATGGTCTGCTATTGTTGCGCTCGTCAGTCTGGTGATTCTCTTTTGACCTCTCTCAATAACAAGGCCTTTTCAGCCACAGAAGTGTCGCTCACTGGATGTTTTTTTTTGTTTTTCTGCATTTGCTGTAAACTCGAGACTGTTTACAGTGCGTGAAAATCCCAGATCAGCTGTTTCTGAGATACTCAAACCACCTCGTCTGCCACCAACAATCATTCCACAAAGTCACTTAGATCACATTTCTGCCCCAACAGGGATTGAGTTGCTCAATCTCATGATTAGCTGAATAGATGTTTGCATTAACAAGCAGGTGTACCGGTTGCACTAAAATAGCCGGTAATCTACCGGTAATCCAAAACATGGGAAAGACTCCAAATTAAACATGCAAATTAATGTGAATTATGAAGAAAGATGAGAACTCACTGTCATCATTTGTCTAACGCAGGTACTCGTTTCAAGACGAGGAGGACATGTTCATGGTAGTTGACCTGCTGCTGGGAGGAGATCTGCGTTATCATCTACAGCAGAACGTGCACTTTACAGAGAGCACAGTCAAGCACTACGTGTGTGAAATCACCCTCGCTCTGCACTACCTGCGCAACAAACACATCATCCACAGGTAATGACTGCATCAAGCTTTTACACATCCAGAAATACAATCAAAGAAAAAAGGCACAAAAAAAAAAAAGAGTCATGCACAAGCATTAGTCAGATGCTGATATACTGCACTGTTCTTTATGTGTGGTCTGGTTTGCTTATACAGATACAGACAATAGAGCTGTTGAGTTTGTAGGTTAAATATTGTATATGGTTAACATTACAGCATAAATTACAACCTAATTTGAAGCAAGTTTGAAGCAGCTGTGTTTAAAAAAAAAAAAAAAAGTTTTTAAGTTTAAAGCTTTAGTTGCTTTAGTTGGTTAGATGGAGAATCAAGTAAAGCCGAGCTGCTTCAGTCCAGTAAGTGTTCATCTGGAGATATTACTGCAGTTATTCTGACCTTTACTTGATAAAAACCAGTCAAGATTTGACAGCAGAAAGACTCGTGAAGCTCGTTGTACAATTACACTAAAACAGCTTTGACTGGATAAAAAAGCATAAACATAAAGCATAAAACCAGACGACAGAAGGCATGGAGTAGATTGTGTGAAACAGGTTTTTGCATGCAAAGTTTGATCTAATTTATGTTGGTAAATTAGAGGCCTTAGAAATTTGTGTGTCAGATATGATACAGTAGGGATTTTCTGTAGATTACAGCAAGACTTTGACACATCATATATGAAAGAACTCATTGCTGCAGACAGCAATAATTCATCAACAGCCTCATAATGCATTAGAGAAACTCAGGAGATTACTTCATCTCTGTCCAGCAGGATTTACTTCTCTGCACTCTAAAGAAATGCTGGGTTAAATACAACCCAGTGCTGGGTAAAATAGGGATAAACCCAGCAAACCCAATTGCTGGGTTTGTCCCTATTTTACCCAGCACTGGGTTGTATTTAACCCAGCATTTCTTTAGAGTGTGTGATGGTTATAAAAAAAGACTGGGCTTTTGATATGCTGGTTATAATGTGGACATTGTTCATACTGTTCTCAAATCATGTTTGTTAGTTTGTTTAAATCCAGTCTTTAGGATTAGCTGTCATGGTCCGTGATGGTCAGTGTAGGCAGAATCTGCACTCTAAAAAATGCTGGGTTGTCTCAACCCAACTTTGGGTTAAATATGGACTAACCCAGCTGTTGGGTTACATTTTTAAACTACATTTTTAACCTAAAAGTTGGGTTAGTCCATATTTGACCCAAAGTTGGGTTGAGACAACCCAGCATTTTTAGAATCTGGTGTACAGACATCAGTTACCATAATGTCACTTAATCGTCAACATGACGGCAGTAGACTTTCTGGCCATAGAGTGTTGGAAGCTATAATTTCAGTGTCCAAAATGACCTTCTCATTTACTCATTCATTTATGCACTCTTTGAAATCCCCCCAAAATTATTTGAAATCCAATCTGGGATGCATTCTACGCAGGCTCACTGGAAATACGTGCCTCTATCTTTATTTCTACAAAATAAAAAATAAAAAAGTACCTATATGTACGAATCGCTGCAGCTTCCAGTTGAAATGAACACTTGAGGCAGTAAAATCTGACAACCTTTATTCCTTTACACACAAATTATGATTTACAGGGCCAGAGTTTTGATACATTTTTTGCACAATTACTTGCACAATATTATGTTGAGTTCAAAACAATTTTAACATGCTGTGAGATTTGGAAACTGATACTTTTGAATGTTAGCGTCACATATAAAGCTTCATATGAATGGGTTTTCTAACGCAGTAGGTTTTTCGGTGGCTCACGCGATACGGTACGAATCCTGTAAAACTACTGTACAGTTCGACAAAACAGCTCAAACCTACGTAGAAGGAAGTTATAATTGCATGGTTGCATCAGCGAATGTGTTTTATATCACCTTTGCTTTCGTTAACACTATCAGGTAGGTTTAGGGTTGGGTTTGGAGGAGGGGGTTTGTTATTTGCCAACACGATAGAGCATTAACCTTTTAGCGACACTCACCGGACATTTGGAGGGGTTTCATCGAAACAGGAACTAAACGGATAAGTGTGTTTGAGACAGAATGGGAACAGAGGTGCTGCAATAATGTAAAATATGTGAAAAATAATAGTTTAAAATAAAACAGTTTCTGGAACAATCAAGCATGACAACCTATTGTAGTACACCCCAAAACATAAATCAAGACTTCATAAAAGGATCGCTTTAAAAACATATCATATATTTTTTTTTCCGTTCCTAATGGAAGATTTCTGTTCCCGCTGCGCTCCTGAGACGAAAACAATACACCCTGTTTTTTGCTCACGGCTACTTGAATTATTAACACTAGAGTGCTGCTCAATTAACAGCATCTTAAGAGATGAGGCTCTTCAGAACAGAATGTGGCGGATGGATGAGAAAGACCAAAACATTCACTAATCCAATCTACTATTCAGATGGGATTCGGTTTCTAAACTGATGTTTGAGTTGCATTTAGTATAATAGGAAAGTCATGCAAACTCATTAAAATAATTTACACTTACATATTAGATAAATGTGACCCTGGAACACAAAACCAGCCATAAGGGTCCATTTTTCGAAACTGAGATGTGTACATCATCTGAAAGCTGAATAAATAAGCTTTTCATTGATGTATGGTTTGTTAGGATCGGACAATATTTGGTCGAGATACAACTATTTGAAAATCTGGAATCTGAGGGTGCAAAAAAATCTAAATATTGAGAAAATTATCTTTAAAGTTGTCCAAATGAAGTTCTTAGCAATGCATATTACTAATCAAAAATTAAATTTTGATATATTTACGGTAGGAAATTTACAAAATATCTTCATGGAACATGATCTTTACTTAATATCCTAATGATTTTTGGCATAAAAGAAACATCTATAATTTTGACCCATACAATGTATTGTTGGCTATTGCTACAAATATACCCCAGCGACTTAAGACTGCTTTTGTGCTCCAGGGTCACAAATGATATGCTTAATATCAGATGGGAACTAAACTTGAACTGAAATGAGCTGAATTTCTTCATAACTGATGAATTCTGTAACATCGACACTGTTTGTCGAATTGAACTGAATCAACAGTGAACTGACCTGAGTCATAATAAGTTTATAAGAAATCCAAATGAAATCAAAAAGCACTTTTAACACTAACTGCACATTTTTAGTGCATGCTGACTGGCATTTGCCTTTCACATCAAATTTATCAGTACGAAACAAAACACTAGAAGAGACAGACTGTCAGCAGTAGCCCTTAGCTGTAAAAACATGCCAAAAATCGCAAACTATGTTATAAATAGATGCCAAAGAAAAATGCAACACTTAATGACCTGAAAAAAATAGCATTAAATATTTCTGAGACTGAATTTCATGATAACACAACAACAGAAAATGCATGCAAATCAAGTGCACAAGGACATTTTGTCATCATTATATCAACTGCTTATTTGTTTAGTACATAATTAAAATTGATCATTTTAAACAGTTTAATAGGTTCTTCATCTCATGTTTTCTATTAAAAATGAACTTGGAAAGCAAAGTGTTTGGGTAACACTTTAGAACATTTCTGTTGACTTTTCCCTCAATAAACTCCTAATTTGCTGATTATTTCTTATATCGTTCCACATGTGCATGCTGTTATTTTATTGTAAAACACAAAAGGAGAAACATTTCGATCTAAGAGTACCATAACAATAATCCATGTAACTTGTGTGCAATATTCCAAGTCTTCCAAAGTTGTTTTTGACCAACAAAAAATGTTCATCATTATTCATTTAGAATCTTCTCAAATTTTATTCATAAATTTCAGTTCAGTGTCAATGACATTAAACGTTGCATTCATTCATTCATTTCTTTATTTATTTATACATTTAAACATGACTATAATTTCAGGGCTTCATCTGAGGTTAAGACTATCAGCAAATAACAAACTCATATTTCAGTCTGTTCATCACACAAAGCTATTATTTGGCTTCACAGTTCTTCTGTGATGCTTGAAAATAAGTCTTTATTTTAATATGCCCTCGTTACAGTGTAACTACACAAATAAGTACTGCATAATATTAATTAACAGGATGTGCTTGGAAAGTGAAACAACTTTTTTTTCAAAAAAATTGAGAGGATAATACATTATTATTACATGAGGGTCAGGTTTCATTGAACTACAAGATCTCGTGTAAATTTGCTTTCCATGTAAATTTATCTCGATTTTTAAAAATATTTTTACTAGACAAACTACTGAATAAGGTGAACGTCTGCCTTATCAGATTACATTACAGTCTGAAGAAAGACTCTGTAGGCAGGCTTTGAAAACATTGGATAAGAACTAAATTTTTATCTTTTAATCTTTTAAATTGAGAAAACATGATTGCATTTGCTTATATTTTACTGTATAAAGTTTTTCATTTTATGGCCCCACCTCCACGTAATGAGTTCATTAATCAAAATCATAATTCATCATAATTCAAAACATAAGCAGACACATGTTCTGTCTGCTAATGTTTTGAAGTAACTGTGTTGTGTTTATGTCAATATGCTTCTGTTTATGTTTTCTGGAATGTGCTTTTACAGGATTCTTTAATGTTTAATGCACCATATGGTCATGCCATCGATTTACTAATCATAGGCTTATGTACTTTGTACCATCATCCTGCCAGGGACTGCAGATGAAAATTAGCCTGTATGGCCAAATCTGACACATTTTCATAATTGCCCGAGTGCTCATGTCAATTCATGTGCATTGTCCCTTTTATAATAAAGAATATAAAGATGGCAGAGGTTGTCTGTAAATAATGCAAAAACTGTGACACTGTAAAACAACGCGCACATGTGTATGTCAGCGAGAAAAGCGCGGAAAATATGGCAAATAAACAGTCCTACAGCTTATACTGTACAGTTAAACGAAATTGAGTTAAATGAGCATTGTTGTATAAATACTGAATGACTTAACAGCTGTTTTCTTTTCTTCTTCTTTTTTTCATCTGCCAAAGAAAAATAACCCCACTATGGCAAAAGCATGCCAAAATCACCACTTGAGTGATATTGG